TCTTCTTCTTCTTCTTCGAGTTTCAATCTGAAATTCAGCCAAAACCAAGTCTAATCTTCACCAAAACCCCTCAAAATTGAGATATTAACTCCAAACCATATTCCCAATTATTTACAACAACACCCAATCCAAACAAATAATGATTTTTGAAAACCCCAATTAGAATTCAAAGCTTCAAAGCTTTTTAATGGTTGTCAATGATAGAATTGCTGCTCTCTTTTCCTTTCCTCTTATATTACTGAAATTTGGGATTGCGAGATAGAGAGAGACGTAGAGAGAATTCTCAATTCTTTGCAACAACATCCAATCCAAACAAACAATGTCTTTTGAAAACCCAATTTCGAATTCAAAGCCCTGTCTATGGAAGAAATAATGAGATTTTGATACATAAACCGTGGGTGTGGGAGGGAAACGTGCGTGAAGGTGTGAGAATTGGAGAGAGAAACGTGGGGGAGGGGGTGGTATTAGAAGGAATATACGGTACCATTAAATTAGGAGTGTAATTAATACCCTTAAAAACCACTAATGGTATATAATTGGTAATTAGGTATACTAAATGTAATTATATCAAACTTTAAACATTGAAAGTAATATAGTTTCCTATATGACATAAGAATGTAAAAATTCCTTATAAATAAGGAGAAAGGACCAAAAATGCCCCGCAAATTATATCGACAACCATTTAAAATTGTTCACACTTTTCATACTCTATGTTAAGTTTATTCTATTTGAACACTCTAACTATATCTCGCCATATAAGCACAATTTGATGATGTGGTATGATGTGTGTATTACACTATATTTCAGAGCATGAGTGATTGAATTTTTTTAATTTTTTCTTTCTTTCACACACCATCGTCCAGGTCCGCCATCTTCTTCTCTCTCCCTCCACCAATCCACCACCATCCACAACTCTCCGCACAATCGCCGGCGATGTAAGCACTCTCCCTCTATCTCTGTCTCTATGTGTGTTTTCCCTTTGCTTTCTCCTCCTCACTCTCACTGCTATCTTCTATAGGAATTTGATTGCGACTTAGCTGTGAAAGAAATCGATTCAACAATTTTCAGCAGACCATTCTCTTCCACTTTTGCTTTTTCGTCTTCTCATTCAAATCCCCAAATTAAGGAAACCATTAAATACCTTATTTTGGCTTCTACTTCTAAACAATCTAAACTTATAAATTTATCCAAAATTTCACCAAACAGAAAAAAAATAAAGTTGAATCCTTAAAATCCCAAACATTCGCCAGAGCATCTGCTTTTTTAAACACTAATTTTGTTGTCAGAGGAAATTCGATGATTTCATCGAATTCCCAAATTCAGGTTGTGTTCTATACTCTAGACTAGCTAGTTGATCTATCACAAAGTTACCATCTTTTGACGAAAAAACACACTTCCATCTGTAGAAATCATTCTTGAATCTTGATATACAAATCTGAATCCTGACTAGTCTTCAAAGAACAAAATGATGAATCTTTACCTTTTTAATCTACTGATCATCAGGCACTTTGTATAAATCAGCTGTAATTTCTGTCAACCACAACCCTGGAAATAACGTCTGCAAAATATATAAACCAAACATCAATTTCACATTACGCTGTATATTAAAAAGATCATCAACAAAAACAGCACGAACAAAACAACTATGCCTCAATCCTAACTAGTTGGTGATCGGCCGTATAAATCTCTATATTCATTAAGCTCAATTTGGAGCCGTTTAGTTAGAGACTATCATAAGTAAAAGAGAAAATTTAACTTACGTCCAAATTCTTTTGAACAAATTTAGCTCGTTTCTTGGGTCTACGAGGGGGTCTATGTCCCACCATATCCATGAAATCTTCCTCAATCTCCTTTCGCGAAAGGGGAACCGAGAACTTCACCCTCTCTCTCTTCTCGCCGCTGGTAGAAGCTCCGGCCGCCGCTCCACCTGCAAAACCACTTCGAAGTATCGGAGATTTGTTCTCCGTCCTTAACGGAGACGAAGCATTAGTTCTGTTAACCTCAATCTTCAACCCTCCTTTCGATCCACCAGCACCGGCGACGGCGCCGGCTATGAGTCCGTTAGGCTCCTTGGAAGCCGCTCGGCGAGTCCTTAAGTTCCACGGCCTGGATAAGTCGACGACATCAGCTGCACCCGCCGTCAGAGTTTTTGCCAGCGCCGGCGACACTTCCTTCTCCGGTTGCTCATCCAAACCTTCTTTGAAAATCGCGTCTTTCATCTTATCAGCTTCTGTTTGAAGATCAAACATCAGCTTCTCTCTCATAGCTCCGATTCCCTCTCCACTATCGCCGGCATTTACCGACCTGAATTTCCGAGTGAACCGATCATTTAACCGGTGCCGTTCCACCGCCTCCGGTTCCCTCCGCCGTCCGATCGATTCTTTCTCATATGACCTGCGATGAACGGTAGAGATTTCTCCGTCGGAATCTACCTTAGCGCACCTCAAGAACTTCTGGTTCCCCCACTTAAGCCCACATGGTAAGGTGAAATTGTGTAAAGGCTTTGATCTTTCTGGTCCCATCGCCATTAATAGTCTCAAGACAATTCAAATAGCTACGACTCAAAGCTCCGTTCTTTAACCTTTCTTTCACTAATTTGCTCAATTGATTAACAACAATTTAATAACATCAGAGAGGGAGAGAGAAAATGGGTTTCATATTCTGGTAATATTTTTCAAGCTTTGCCCTTTATTCTTTTGGTTTGTGTATTGTGTTTAGATGAGTTTACGTGAAATCGCCGGGAACGTAAAGTTTATATAGGCAGTCAGAGGAGGAGAGAGAGAAGGCGATTTTAACGTTGGGGTTCTGAAAATCGTAGGTGCTAAAGTGCGCGGTGGAGTGACGTCTTCTATTTTTATTTCCAGGGTTTTCCAATATACGACGTCGTCCAAAGTATTTAGCATTTTTCGTTATTATTATTTCGTTCGTTTCAGTTTATAAAATGAAAAATTATTTTTAGCGCTTGTGGTCATAAACATATTACTCTCTCCGTTTGAACCTATTTCCTTTTTAATCCATGCCAAAAAGAATGACGTATTTCTCTATTTGGAAATAATTTACCTTTATGCAATGATTTATAGCCACACAAAATATATGTGCTTCATTTTACAAGTTCAAAAGTTTTCTCTCTTTTCTTAAACTCCGTGCCTAGTCAAATGGGTTCACATCAATTGAAACGGAGGGAGTATAATATTTATATAGTTATAAAATTTTAAACTTTGTAACTTTATATATATCATAATATTAATATGACTATAAAAGTTTCTCAAATAAAATAAAAAATATAAATTATTTACTTTCAAATTTAGAAAGTATTGTTCTTTTTCCAACAGAAAAGGAAAAAAAATTCACTTAAATTAAAATAGAGGAAATAAATTTTTATTTTTATTTTTTGACAACCTATTAGGCTACAGACGCCTCAGCAGCTCACCTTGGAGAATTTGATGATAACACAATGTTGTAACAGCGTTAAATTGAAACAGTCAAGTGGACGATATGAAAGAGGATAAACTTTTTTATATTTTGAGTTTAATTTTTTAAAACTATTTAATAAATTAAATTTCTTAAAAAATAAGGACACTTATTTATATACGTTAAGCGTCTATAGGAGATGATATATACTAATGTACCACTATAATCGATCAAATCACATGATATAAAATTTTATGATTATTGAATATAGATTGAAAGATACATAAGAAGGCGAAAAACAAATTTTATAATATGGAATATGGATCTTAAACAACAATGGCGTATGACAGTGAATTGAGTCTTAGAGATCCAATATGCCCATAAATGACCGTCATAAGAATATATATAGATGTTAAAATATTTGTAGGATTATATAAGATTGGATAACATTAAAGTGCTCCGGTTAGAAATTTGATTTTCTGAAAATTAAAGATCTCCAATGGAATGGTTCTGAATAATCAGGTAATATAGTTTGATCATGACATACATAAACTTCTAGATGTGTTGCACCTCTAGTATGCAAATGTGCTAGGTTAAGCTATTAACATGAAAAAATCAGATATAGAATCAAACAGACAAGTTACCTTTAACTATCTAAAAAAATTCAAAATTTATGCAAATTTAATTAATAATAGAACACTGAAAGCAAAATATCAGTATAAGAATATTAGTTCAGGTTCTATTTTGAAGCACTGCATTTGTTTGAAAATATTTGACGTTCTAAAAAAATAAAAAGTCATTTATTACACTTTTTCATAACTACCCTTATTGTTTAATCAGTGAATTACTAGTATCGTTTAAGTAAGACATTTAAGGAAAGATGCATGGGTAATTTAGACAAAAAATTATACTCCCTCGGTCTCATATTAATAGTCGTGGTTACTAAAAATAGTTGTCTCAAATTATTTGTCATTTTAGAAGTTCAAGATAAAACCCTTTTTTCCTTTTTCTTTTTTACCTTTAGTAATAATTGTTCTTGAAGATGGTGATAACACATAAATAGAATAAATATTCAATGAAGAGAGATTATATCTTATGACATAAATAAGGGTAGAATAGTCCAATCATTTTTCTAATTAATACTTCTTAAGGGGCGTGTAAAAGAGAAACACGACACATAATATGAGACGGAGAGAGTAATGCTTATTGAATATCTTTCATACGGGTGTGCAAGAACTTTTAAGAACAAATAATATGAGTAGTGGAATCAGTACAACTGGTTGATATTAATTAGTTGCTCATGTTCATATAAGAGTGAGATTTAGAAAATCACGATTTGCCCTAAAATATATTGTAATTTGTATAATAGTGAAGAAGATTCAAATACAATGAATAGTATCGATAATTCATATAGCCGATTCTAATTCATATGAAATTGAGACCAGTTTGATCGATTGGTATGAATATAAACTAAGTGGTTTTCAATAAATAAAAATAAGCAGAAACAATAATTAAATAAACAAAAAATAAGACTTAAAAAAGAAAAAGGGTATAAGCCTTGGCATTATATTTTCAGTAGTGTCGAAGTTCAAATCTGGAAGTTAAATATGGTTTCTCCAAGTCTCACTATACCGTTCAGCTTAGTGGAAATAAGAATTCAATGATTTATGATGCTTATAAGTCTATTCTAATATGATAAATTTTTGAAATTTGATTTTTTTATTTTTATTTTTGTAATGTTGTGACTGTAGAAAATTGTATTTAAATTGTTTTGATCTGATTTTTTTGTGTCCTTAGTTGTCAAAAAAGTTAAGAATTAATTTCAAGCTAGCGTTTGGCCATAGATTTTCAAATTTCTTTAAAAAAAAATTAATTTAGGTGAAGTTTGATTTGAAGATGAAAATTTGTTTGGACATAATTTTTCAAAACATATTTCGCTTTTTAAAAAAAAAAAANAAAACTATCAAAAATACCCAACAACTCTGAAGAAAATTCATACAAAACTAGCGAAACAAGTCTGAAAAAAATATACAAATATTAGCAGATTCTAGCAAATTACCTTCAAATTTTATCTTTATAGTGGATTGACACAGATTGGCACAATAACTTTAGCGAAGGTTTTGTTCGGTTTATAGAGAATGGCAAAGCCGCATGAGTTTAATGAGGAAAAAGTGGGTAGATATGGATTAATCGGGTCATAATAACAGAAAGTGAGTTTTTTATAAAATACAAAAGTTTAGGACAGTTTTTTATTTTTTTTAAAAAATCAAACGATAATATTTTGGGCCAAAAACAGCTTTTGAGCTGGTTTTGGAATTTAAAAATTTGTCAAAATATAGATAAAATGTATAAACAAATAGGTATTTGCCAAAAAAAATAATTAAAATTTTTGGCAAAATCTATGGTCGGGGGCCAAGAATCTTACCACTAAAAGGTATGGTGAGATAGATGAGATCGATTCATTCTCAACTAGATGTCTCAGGTTCGAGCCTTGAGAAAGGAGAAACCCCTGGTAGGAAGCACTTCTCTTTTAATAATCCATACGCAACGTGAGACTGGATTAGTTGAACCAATGACTTTCGAATACTAGATGATTATACCCAAAAAATATTTGGAGAACTAAATTATTAATTTTCAATAATTGTTTGGCCTAAAATATGGTATAATACTTCAGTTATCCATGTTAAATGTCTCATCTTAGTTGAGGAATGAGTTATTGTTTTTCATATAGTATATATGATTTTGGACAATTCTTATCTCATGAGCTAACTTTTGGAATTGAGTTACGCTCAATATCTATTTTCTTAACATGATATCAGAGGGGTTGCTCTGATGGCAAGCAACCTCTACTTCCACCAAGAGGTTGTGAGCTCGAGTCTCCCCAAGATCAAGGTGGGAAGTTCTTGGAGGGAAGAATGTCGGGGGTCTATTTGGAAACAACCTCTCTACCCCAGGGTAGGGGTAAGGTCTGCGTATACACTATCCTCTCTAGACCCCACTAAGTGGGATTATACTGGGTTGTTGTTGTTGTTGTTATTGTTAACATGGTATCAGAGCTAGATCCAATATAATTTTTGGTTTACCAATTATTAGGGGCCCCTTTTAATGATCCCTACTGTTGATACCCAATTTTCCTTATATTTTTTATATATGCATAAATATCTTCAAAATAGCATATATATATATATAGGCATACACAAGGTTTTTATAATTTTTTCCATAATTTTAAAGATTTAAATTGATTTATTTCCTTCCCTTTTATTAATAAAATCCCCCATAATTATCTCTCAAATTATTTTTGTGATGATTTAGTCATTTAATTTCTATATTTATGCCAGAATATGATTAAAATATTTTTTATGCATTTTTATAATTGCAATTGATATTTTTAAAATTAAATTGCATATAATTACAATATCAGCCCATTTAAGGTATAATTACATTTACATGCATAAAATCGACCTTCTACATTTTTAAAATGTTAAATATATATTTTAAATCATTTTAGTATACAAAATTATTTTCCAAAGATTATTTATTATTTATTATAAATTATATAGGGAAAATTGGCTATTTAAAATATAGCCAGATTTGCATTTCAATTGTAGCCCAATTTAAACCCAACCCCATCCCAATATCTAATCAAAACACCCGACCCAAACCCTGAACCCGCCTACCCGATCCAAGACCCGTTAAATCCTGGCCGTTGATCTTTAGATCAACGACCCTCATGAGTTTATTCCTTTTTTATCCCAAACGACCCCTAACCCTATCTCATTTCTCAAATCCGCCGCCTTTGTATTCTCTCATCTCCTCTCCTCTCTCAACCCCTCAACCTAACCCTAGCTCCTTCAACCGCCGACTCCCTTCTCCAGTCTTCTCCGGTGATCTCCCTTCAACTCCTAAGCCTCCAATGGCTCCTCTATTGCCATGCTCGCCTTTTCTGAGGCATTCAAGGGCCCTGGGCCACGCCGACTTGCATCTAGGGTTTGCTATTTGTCTGTTCTTGGCTACTTCAGTATGATTTCAAGCGAAATCTTGTTGTACTTGTTACGATCTTGGAGATTTTAGACAAGTTCTTTCATCTTTACCCTAATTTTTGCTTACATCTCCTAGATCTGTACGATTCTTAAACGATTTGAGTCTGTTTCTTTGATGTTTTACACTCTCCTGGTAACTCTTTACAAGAATCATCGATTTCAAAGTGTTTTCACCTTCTTCTAAAATTAGGGTTTTCGGAACTTCTTCTAAAAACTTGTTTAAACCGATTCTTTATGTTTAAACTTCTATCTCTTGCATATTTCGATTGATTCTATGATTTTACTACCTTTTCAACTTGCCTATGTTGAAAACCCTAATTTCTTAGTTCCAACCTTGGGTTTCTGAGTTTTGTTTTGA